GACCGGCACCTGCGCATTGGACCGGCACCTGCTGGCTTCGGCCTTTTTCTGGACCCGTGGTGCCACAACAATCGATTTAGATAGTTGTTCTTGGGTTGTGTGGTTCGTTTTTGGGGTCGCTTTGATATCGAGGTGGTGCTTCTTGTGAGCACTGGCAGGGACATTCCGAAATGACGGCCCCTTTATATGTGTCAAGAGTATTGTCCGACACGTTTGGGACCAGCGTGCAAAGCGTTGTTCACCAGCGTGCAGCGTCCATAACCATTTTTGGGACATGTTGAGGTTTGGAGGCGACCGCATTGAAAAGAAGGACCGCCGGACTTGTGGATGTGTCCGGATTGGACACTGTTTTCATTTACTTTGCATCATTTGGCCCGAAAACACCGGCGAACAGGTCCACGGCTTTCAAGCATGCAGAAGAGCGGAAGAAACGCCGGCCGCACGAAGCTTGGATCCTTTGCTCTGGAACAGAGTTAGCTTGTCATGCATGCCATGAATGGCTGTTCTTTGAGCATGCGGTACGTGTCGGATTGAGTGTACTCAGCCCAAAGAGTGATCAAGTCTTGTCAGTACCCAAAGAACAAAAGTGCTTTGGAGGGTCCAGGTGGAGCTGGTCATACCAAGTCATACAATCGACTCGAAGAATCTTGAAGAATTGACCTGCCGTCTGAGGCGATTTTGGTGTCCCAGCCGCACCAACCCAAAGCACCGGCAATTACTCAGTGAAAATCGGGTTCTACTTTGATGACAGGTGCGATGCGACCCAGCCCATTCACATGTGATGGCAATAGTCGGCAAACCAACTTCCAAAACACACAACACAACAAAAACACTATAGGTGTGTGTGTGTGTGTGTGTCTGTGTGTGTGATTGTTGGTAAGGGTTTTGCACCGTCTAGTTCAGAAGCAGCTGAGTCATATGCCCTGCTTTTGCTGAGAAATTGGCATGCCCATCAGTTGCCCCTGACGCCCAGTCACCGTCAAGCCGCCCTCCGGCAAACGTCCCTCGCCGTCGGGCCGCGCCGCATCGCGGCGGCCCAGGGAGACGACAACGGCTGGGCCGCCCATCGCTTCAACCACCTTGGGCAAAGAGCCACGTGGTGCTCAGTCTTGGAGTTTCAGGGAGGGCTGCGATGCTTGTGAAACATGTTGCGACCAGGGTCTACAATCTTCTATGGTGTGAAAATGTTTGAAGTCTTTGGAACCTGGAAAGGGAAGGTGGCGGAGATTCCTCCACCTGAAGGTGAAGAAGCCGTGATCAAAGACTCGACCCATGGCACATCCCATGATCCATGGGCATCCAACAGAGAGAGGGAGAGAGAAAACAACAAATACTTTACTTCGAGTGATTCCCACCATGACATTCCAATCATTTGTATTCATTTGTCTTGATGCCATAGTGAGGAGCATGTTGCCATGGTCGTGAGTATTGTAGTTCTCGATTTTGCTTGTGGGTCCTCGGGTTGTGTGTTGTGGTTGTGGTTGTGTGCTGTGTTGTGGTTGTGTTTGTGATTGTGTGTTTGTGGCTGTGTGTTTGTGCTTGTGTGTTGGTGGACGTGCTTGCGGTTGTGTTTGTGGCTGTGTGCTTGTGATTGTGTTTGTGGTACTGGTAGTGGTTGCGATTGTGTTTTCGTAGTTGTGGTTGTGGTTGTGGTTGTGTCTTTGTGATTGTCTGTTTGTAGTTGTGGTTGTGGCTGTGGTTGTCTCTTTGTGATTGTGTTTGTGTGTTTGTTGTTGTGTTTGTGGTTGTGTGTTTGTGATTGTGTGCTTGTGGTCGTGTCTTTGTGATTGTGTGTTTGTGGTTGTCTGTTTGTGGTTGTGTGTTTGTGGTTGTGGTTGTGTCTTTGTGGTTGTGGTTGTGTCTTTGTGTTGTGGTTGTGTCTTTGTGGTTGTGTGTTTG